GATCGTTTTTTTTCTCTCTCGATTTTTCACGATTCAGCTCTGGATCCGGATCTGAGCTGAAGCTGATGATGTGGAGCTGAAGCCAAGAATAGTGAGAGCATTTCTGCTGGAAAATTAACATCAGCAATCAAATCTGCATGTAGGCTGGAGCAGGGTTACTGCCACTCACTTCGCTATAAAAATGTTTTTCGGAATTATGGAAGGTATGTATTTGACACATAAAACCTGCCAATTTCGCTTTCAGTGCGTCACAATCAGCGAATTTATGACTCGTGAGCGTTCACTCAGAGTGAGCGCTCACGAATCGTAAAATCGCTGATTGTGACGCACTGAAAGCAATAATGACAGGTTTTGTGTGTCAAACACCTAGGTTACAACCTTATCTTTTGACTTACTGCTACTAACTATCATTATAATATCTAATGATTTTATAATTCCGAAAAATAATTTTTTATAGCAAGTGAGTGGAAGCAAGCCTGGGCTGGAGTGCATTTCATGAGAAAAGGCGTAACATCGAGTGACACGATTCAATCATATAATAGCGAATGGTATAGGTATGATATGTTTTTGGCACATTTTGGTTAACGCGGTGGTTGTTCAGTTGTTGCGTTAGAGGCGTTTTAAATGAATTATATCGTCCGGCCATTTCCACAGAGATGGCGCTGTTCCGCTGGTAGGAATTGATATAAATCCCCATATATATCGCTTTCGATGCATATTCGGGACAAAAAAAAAGTGACCGACAACCTTAATAAATTAGTCAGGGACTTTGTCGTTCAGTCTGTTCCCGGAAATTTTTGTTAAACAAGCTTCAATTAAATAAACATTATTTTTCCCCATACAGTTTTATTTGCTTTACGACCAGTTACAAGAGAGCCAAAAATTCAAATTTGAGAGAGAAAATATGCTCTCACGACCTCAATTCCTCAACACGCCATTTATTTTGATAACTCTCGATTTGTGATTTCCATTTCACAGATTACAAAATAGAGTACCTGGCACTGCAAAAAATGTCTGGTACCTCTTAATTGTTCACAGAGGGTAGTGCAGTGCAAAACATGTCTGGTACTTCTATATATGCATTTTGATTAACATTCGAAGCCCCTCCTTTTTTACATATTCTGCACCGCCCCATTCATAAAATTCGGCGGGAAATCCTGTGAGGGGTGAGCTTCGAATGTTAATCTAAATGCATATATAGAGTACCAGACATGTTTTGCACTGCACTGTCCTCTGTGAACAATTAACGGAAAACAGATTATGTGTAGTTTCCGATAGATGTCAACAGGCATGGACAATCATTTGCATTCATTTGCCTCTAACTTTTTTCATAAACAGCATTCCGCAAAATAATGTGTAGAGCTTTTGTAGGTTATGTTATTAGCTACAACTTTTGCTCATAACTCAAATCTGTATCTCTTATGCATCACGAACTATGGCGGGCAGAACTTGGTACTGTTTTTCAGTGAATGTTAAATACATTCACTGAAAAACAGTAGTGATTTCTGTTCGCTCTGGTTCGTCATGCATAAGAGATACGGATTTGACTTTTTAACAAAAGTTGTAGCTACTAACAAAACCTACAAAAGTTTTGTACATCATTTTGCGGAATGCTGTTGAATAAAAAAGTTAGAGGCAAATGAATGTAAATGAATGCACGAAATGAATGCAAATGATTTTCCATGCCTGGATGTCACCGCCAACAACAGCAGTGACATCTGATGGAAAATGGATGCAGAAGCTTGACAAAATGATTAATGTTGTAAGCTACGGTTTTAAGCTTTTAAACTAGCCATAGGCTAAAAATCAAAGAATTAAAAAAAAAAATTGGTTTAGGGTCACGTAACCAAAACCACTTATTTCTCTTCCAGTTTTGAATTTGTATAAAAAACTTCTAAAGACTGGACTCGGAAAAAATGAGACACACAAAAATGATCACCAAAAATTCATTTTAAATCGGATACTTCTCAAATTTTCAGGGATTAAATAACTATATATTAGCTATGTTTTGGCATAATTTATTTATTGAATTTCCTCCCCCAAGCTAAATGCTCGTACATTTCTCTTAACACTGCTCATCTCATCTTGGGCGAGGCTTTGCCCATCTTCCTTACACAATTTCTCCCAGTTTTTCTTCAAAGCTTCATCGGTTTTGAATGTTTTTCCGCTTTTCTTCAACTTCTTCTTCATTATCGCTCAAAACTTTTCGATCGGACGAAGTTCTGGTGTATTTGGCGGGTTCGCGTCCTTCGGGACCACATTAACGCCCTTCGCTTCGTACCAATCCATTACAGGCTTGGCGTAATGGCACGAAGCGAGATCCGGCCAGAACAGCGTGGGACCACGGTGAGAGCGAGGAAGGGCAGCAAGCGCTTCTGCAAGCATTCCTCTCGATAAATCTGCCCGTTTAGGGTGCCGGTTGTAACGAACGGCTTGCTATACCGTTCGCACTCGCAGATCGCCTGCCACAACAGGTACTTCTTCGCGAATTTGTCCATCTTTCTCTTCCGGAACTTTTCCGGAACCTCCATGCGGGACGTACCGACAAAATACTCGAGGCCGGGGATTTGTTTGGTGTCCGCCTTGATGTATGTCTCGTCGTCCATGACGAGACAGCCTGGCTTGACCAGCCACTCACGGTACAGCTTCCGCGCACGCAATTTGGCCACCGTGTTTTGCTTGTCAGTCCGGTATGGCGCCTTCCTGACCTTAAAAACACGTAGCACAGCCCGCTTCATGGTCTGCTGGACGAACCACTTCGACGAATTGACCTTTTTGGCCACGTCTCGGGTGGAAAGGTTCGGATCATTCTTAAAGTACTGCCTTATCTTCCGCGCCTTCTCTGGGTATTCCGTTTTCGGTTTTCGGCCGCTTCCAGCGCGCCGCTTGATAGTCTTCGTCTCCTGGAACATCTTCACAACGCGGGACACGGTGGAATGGTGGATTCCAAGCCTTTTGCCGATCCATAATCCTGACCAGGATTATCGATCACCGCGCCCAAGATTTGCTGGCGTAGCTCTTCTTGTTTCGAATGCATCTTGAAAACTACTTGACAGATCGCGATAAAATTTTGCACTCATATACATAACACTCTAAACTAGTATTACCCAAAATTTCATTAATTTTTACCCACGCGATAAAAAGTTACACCCAAAACAAAGTGTCGCATTTTTTCCGAGTCCAGTCTTTATAATTTCAATGTGAACTGAAGAGCTGTTCAAAAGAATCGTCTCCCTTTAGTGAACTGGGCGGGACTGATCCGCTTAGCCAGATGACCTGTTTTGCTCACCTCTAGACTACTCAGTACGGAAAACAAATCAAGGATTTTTTTTATAAAATTCTTAAGATATCTGTAAAGAGGTTCAAGGGTAACAAGATAATTCATACATAGATTATTTACAATATACTGGACAAAACAAAACCATGATTTGGCAAAAAATATAAGTTGGGAGACTTCAATTTGTTTATGTTTGTTGTGCTTAGAAACGTTTTGATGATCCTGGATTAAGACAAATCATCAAGATTCATTATTCGCTATTTGATATTTGAAGAGCTCCAGGCCAAATAGGATAATACATTTTTTTTGGCTCGGCCTTCTCCGATTTGCATGAACATTTGCATAATTCTAGATAGAGCTGGAATTAGGGCGTAACAGCCTTTGGTAAAGACTGACTTCTTTCGTTGATTTCTAGGAATTCAAGGAACGCCTACAGAAACCAACATATCCATCGGGTAGGGGATAAACTCGTATCACACTGGGGTACACTGGCAATATAATGGAGTTGTCAAGTTGCCCCTGGGTTGAATCATACTCTATGCCCAGCCGATAAATTTTCCAACCCAAAAAAATTCGTTGCTACCTCTTTTACTCTCATGGAAAAAAAAGTGAGGTTAGCTTTTGCGTGCAGTGCTTTATTTCGATTTCCCACATCCAGGTCTCAGTTGATGGAAATATGATTTAATTTTTTTTTGGATAGTTGACGCATTGTAGAACAATGTTGCTAAAATTTATGTAGTGTACGATTATCTCTAAGCGGCGATTTTTGACAACTGAAGCCGTGTAGCAGAGGTCATATATAACCCCGGTTAAGATTAAATCTACAAATCCGGAAAATTTTACTTCAAACAAGCCTAATGGCCAAACAGTTGTTATTTTCCCCGCCAACAACAAATGGAAAACTCACAGCCTACTGCCATCAGTGGAGGAGAACAACAAGCATCACACGTCCCATTAATTTACCAGCATCGGCGTCGGCGAGGCACAGACCGAGTGGCAACTAGTGACAATAATGTGTACACTCATTTAGCAGAGATTAATCAAAACCGAAACAATAATAACAAACAACAATAACACGATGAACCAAGACAGAAAAAAAAACAATAATTAACTCTAAAGGAGATGGTGGGAAAACCGATGAGGCCCGGTATGTTACAACCAGAAAAAAATGGAAAGAATATGAGAGGGAAATAAAGCGAAAACGATTAGCCTAGTTGTGAATGACGAATAAGAAGGAAAGACGTATGCTATGGTAGCACATATTAGTATTGTTGATATTTACACACACAAAAAGAGACACGAAGTAGAAACATGCATAGTTAATTGAAATAAGTGGACGAGAAGAAAAATGAGATTATCGACTGCCAGCAACCAGTATGAAATAACGTAAATGTATTAAAGAAGTTAAACAAATGTGGAAAAATAAAGTGATATGGTTCTTAAGTTTAGTAATCTTAACAAAAAAAAGAGCTGGTTGATTGTATTAAAACATTTGTTTCCAATTTATACCAAACAAAAGTGTCCACCTAAACGATCTAATTGAAATGTGATTTGAGCTATCCTATTTTTGTTTCCATTGTCGAATATTATCTAGCCTATTTTAAGATGTAAGCAATTCTCAAAGGGTAAATAAATCTGTACTATGCAAAACAAAAATGCTCCAGTTTTCATCTTATTGCTCGATTTAGGATATTTCGGTATAAATCACTATCGCTTCGTCTGATTCCAGTTTATATTTTGTAGATTCTAGTATAAAATCAACTACTTACCATTCGACAGGAGGCCCAGTTGTTAGCTGTTGTTTTCCGTCGATTGCTTGGCTTGCTTCGATTTACTTTGAACACATTTTTTGTGCTTGTTGGAGCGCAAATGCGATTGCCATTGGTACTCGCCTACTATGGTACGTTGGCAAATGTCACAGAAGAAGGAGGTTTCCTCGTTCAGACCTTCTCTCGCCGTCGTCAACCGGGGCATCGGTTGCTTCGTTGGAATTTTTCCCTCCAGGACTGCTTCGATGACTTGTTCAGCTGGTGTGAAAACATTTTCGTCCCACTTGCCGACATCGGTCGTGTCCAAGGCGTAAATTGGAGGGACCTGTCAATGATGTTATACCAATTTATTTATGATTTCATAAATTATTGAAACGCTAACAAGATAATTTAAGTGATGTGGCCAAGAACTCCCTGCAGTGTGCTGCTGCTAGCTGGCACGCGACGTGACATGTTTGGTTTTCCCTTTAGTGCCCGCAATAGTCGAAGGGACCGACATGGAAAAATTGGAAAATCAAAATATATCACATAACATACTTCCAACACCGCAGCACCGTTAAACCGAGGTACGCGAGTAGGAAGCACCAGCTGCTGTGCTACCACACAAAGAAGAGAAAGCCTACGGTATAACATTTTATTACCTCTCTGCGTGAATTGCCCAAGAATCGATGATTAATCCATTTAATTTGTTTTTTGGAATACCGGCGCGTTACCAGCTTGAGATTATCCAGGCATTTCTGAAGAAGCGGCAATCCCTCCGGAGGGGTCCCGTCATCGCTAGACTTTCGCATGTAATCGGTGATTAGTTGATCGTGTTGATGATCAAACTTTTCCAGGTAGGCGACAAACTCTTTGAATCCGATACTCTGCAGAATACCCTGGTGAAAATCGTTGTCCCTGCAACAAAGTAGGCACATGTGAGAATGCATTTTTTTTCCAGGCTAAATTGCAGCAGTGTTTACTCGTAGGGTTTCACGTAGCGCTCGTAGAATTGCCTTATCTCAGCTAGTAGGCCTTGCGCTACCATCGAATCCACTCGAGCGTCCAATCGGGCGTTGAGCGTTTCCTGCAATACACAATAATGACATGAGAAGAAAGTGAAGTGAATTGATCTGCAAGTATAGTGAAGGTCACACCGCAGCCATCGCTCGCCATTCGCCGGATGACGGTGAAGGCGATAGCCGGAGTTAAAACCGCAAAATTGTGGTTTGATGCTTCGATTTAAGGGAAAGTGCTTTCTGGGCACTCGTGGAACGATAAAGTTCATGATGGTTTTTTAAAGACGGTATGTACCTACAGCTCAACAAGCTAGGAATTTGACTATGAACTAGTTAAGGTTGAGGAGAAAAATTGTTCCCAACACGCAGGTAAACTTTTTCAATCACAAACGAAATCTACGAACCCAACTAATATAACAGAAGCAAGCGAGCAAGTAGACATCGGAATAATTTATCTTAAATTATACCTACGTATTTAAATTAGCAAATGCTGATTGAATGTTAACATAGAAATACGATCACAATACTCCGAATGATGAATGAGTTGCCACTTTACTATTCCCATTAAAAAAAAGTTCATTTGCAGTAGGCTGTGGAGCAATTTTTTTATGTCGTCACGCCATCATGACACAGTGACACAGACTGGTGATGAAGATAAACTACTCCCTACAATCATCGTAACCACACCGGAGCCATAGTTGATGTGATTTGCAGAATGCAGTACGTAGTGTCGTAGGTTCTTGTCTAACTTCCCGCTTCAGTAGTCCCCCTCCCTGCGCTTCTGCTGCCCTTAAATACACCCAAAACAATCAAAACATTCCCATGATTGTTAGCCGGGGTCAGGAAAAGACATACAGAAAGCGCAGAGGTGGAAATCGTTGATTCGTTTTTTTTTCATTCATCTATTCAACTCAGGCCTTATGTGCCATCCGTATGTCAGCGAATACGTATAGTGGGCGTCATGGAGAGCTCTTCGTAGTACACGGTACGTGTATGCATTGTACACAGTTTTTAATAGTTAGCGACCGGATTTCATGAATGAATCATTCAACTAACCGACTAGGGCCGACCCGACATACAAACGACTATTTACCAATTACTCACGCTGCAGTGCTCGCGGTTGTACTCGTTTGAAAGAAAATTTCATTCATGGTTTTTTTTTGCCGCGATTTAAACAACCAACGCGTACTTGGATCTGATCTAGTAGTTGCTGCAGTCGTCGTCGTCGTCGTCGTTCGTCGTCGTGGCAACCACATCTACGTAGGTGGCATTGTGTTCTCCCATGGGCGTAGCCTTCAAAATAGAGGGGGGGGGGGGCGGGTTTTTAAATTTTCTTTTATGATGGAGTTATTATGTCGTACTGCATATGGGTCATTCCATGTCAAGTGTCCGAGGTAGTTGAAATAAAAAAAAATACAAATTGTTGTGCTGATCGGAGCATCCCTCTGTCAAGGAGAGCATTTTAAATGTTTCGTGATTTTCAAGAAAGCACTACATTCATTTGTTAATATCTCCAGAACGAATGAAGCTGCAGATAGCTGTATATAGGTACTGTTTTCACTAGTCAAGAAACCTAAATATGCAACTATTATTTCTATGCAGTGTTGCCAAATATTTTTAATTCCCGTTTGAAAACATTAAACGCATTTTTCTCTGAATGAGTGTAAATATATTGTAATTTCCTATTTGATGGCACCTTCGTGTTCCCCATCCTTTTTTACGATAAGAGTCGTGTAGGTCCCATATTTGACGCAGGTCCAAACTTGACGCACTTTTGTACTATTCCCGCACTCAGACAAGTATTTCACGAAATAGCTCCCAATAATCAATTATTAGCACTCAACCTTTACATTCGCCACGAAAAACTGTTTGTGGATAGCATTTTTTGGTCAACATATGAGCCAGGGTGTCGACTCAACGAAGAAAACAACCCCATCAGCTATAACATTCCTCAGTGCTTGATGGACATTTTTTCATGAAATACCACACGGACCTCTAACCCATGAAGAGTGGTCCAATACAAATTCAAATTAAATAAAGCATTCGATACATTTTATAGAATGCAAAAAAGACAGAAATCTCGTGTTGCCAAAACCGGAAAGGACCCACCCTAGGGGTATACATTCATCGAGATCTCCTCCATATTCATGGTGACCAGCAAATCTCGATTAGAATTTTTTTCGATTTTCTCCGGGAATTTTGGAAATTTTCGAGGTTTTGGTATTTTAATTAGGCATAAAACTGAATGCGATTAAGCCGAAGATAAAATGGGTAATTTAATACAGCAGCACCTTTGCTGAATCTTGAATTTGGTTCTGCCACGGGATTGAAGTCTTCAAAATTTGTGTATGAAAATTTCTCTCAAAACTTTACAGGATTATATTTCATATAAATATTTTAGATTGATTTCCTATAACAGAGATCTTTCCACAATTCTTCTAAGATAAACTTGAAATTCTCTCTGGAAATCCCTTGATTTTTTTCCGTAGAATTCACCTCAAATTCTCGACCGAGAATGGAAAAATGCCTACTAGCTTTTGAGCTTGAGCTTGAGCTTGATTGACCGCCCACGGTTGCTACTCTGTTATTGCCAGATCAGCTGTAATTACACAGAGAACCAATAGACGATGCTTGGGACTAGCAATCATCCTCAATGTGTAAAAACTGGTGATCTTAAATTAGGCAATACCAGCGCCGGCCGCGCCCGAACACAGGTCAAGAAAGGAATGGGAAGGATTGTGTTGACATGACACTCGCTTTGATGGAAGCCGAGAACACCTCTGCACTTCCACGAGGAATCACTGGGATGTTGGATAAGAGGGTTGGGTTTGCAGCAGGGTTCGTTTTGGTAAACGATAAGCTGAATTGATGTCCTAACGATCATATAACGCGAAGGAGCTTGGGACTAAACCTACGGTCTTCTGCTCAGTAAGCAAAAAGGTTTGCCACTAGGCAGACGAGTACCTTTTTAATCACCGAGTTGCTGTTATTACCATGTAGTCATATTAACAAATAAAACGAATGACGAATCTTGAATGTGGATGGGCCTGAGATTAGACTCATGATGTTCTGCTCAGTAAGCAAAAACGGTTGCTCTAAGGCCACCGAGCCCCTCATATCACATAATACCGTTGCTAAAATTTTTGTATCCATTCAAACCCGGAACCAACGACAACAACGAGTTTCGCAAAATACACGATACACAAGCGATTTTACCATAAATCTCTTTGATATGTAAGGACCTGGGACCGCATTTTTCTGCTCAGTAAGCAGGCCATTGTAACCGACGATCTTTCAAATCCGAAAACTAAAAACTACGAAAAAGTACTTAGGCCTTCATTAAGTTCCACTTTCACGCGACGTTCAATGACAGGGTCCTATCCAGGATTACATCTGAAAAATCCAAATCTGGCCAACGCCCACCCTAAACCTAAACCTGCTCTAATCCACCTGAAATGACTAACAAATGGAAGACTTTGACTACCCAGCCATGCAATAGTCTCATTCCGTGCATTATGGCAACTTGATGATTCTATTGCGCTCATCTTCTGGCACCACCCAGGGGAGACTTGGTCCTGTACCCAATGCTTAAATTATCTCCATTCCACTCAGCTACTCGCAATTTCTTGTGATATAGTGGGCGGAATATTATTATATGAGACAATTCAATGCAGACGTCTTTCCAAATTTGGCAGATCGACAGGTAATCGGTGAGTTACCACGATAGTTGCTTATTCAACAACTCGACAACGTCCCATCGTCTACGCCTGCTATGAGAATTTCCCATTGCAGACGCCAACGAAATGACGTCATCGAGCTATCGATCAACTACCCTGGTTATCGCCTGGTACCTTATAGCACGATGCTAGGAGGCGAACCGGAAGAATCGATGAGCTACCTCCCCCTGAAAAATGCCTACTAGCTTTTGTGAACAAAACTTGTAATCCCCCTTTCCTGCTAACACCAGGGGAAATTCTCCCGCCGAGAATTGTTTTCAAATTTTTCTCAGAATTATCTTAAAGTTCTCCTGTGACGACAACACCCCTCGATGCAGCGACGCTGCTTATGTAGATCGACACAGTTTCCAGCAGGCCGCATCCGAACGATTTGTCATGGATGACAAGTGACAAGCGATGAGGAGGAACGTCAAAACTACACGGCGAATCAAAGTCAAAGTTACACAGAGTTCGAAAGCCATTGTATACGGTTAGGGAAGTGCCGGGCGTATTTAACTCGAATAAATAACTTAGCTACTACTAGTACTTAAAACTATTGAATTTGCCTAAACTAGTAAAATCGAACCTAAGGCTAATGTAAGTAGCTTAACTAAAACTCTTAGAACTTAAAAAAATAAATTACGAACTAATATTTACAGCTAACATAGAACTGTGGATTCACGATAAGATTTCTCCAGTTTGACAATTCCTACACTAAAATTTTAAATAAACTTAATCTAAAGTGTTTATTTGTAATAATAAAATCGATTTGAATTTCTAGCTTAAATCTAACACTACCAAAAGGTTGTTTGCTGTTGAGATTTGGTGACACAACCATACAAAAACTTTAAGAATTCTATCACGGGGTCTGGAATGGAGGAACATCAGAAATCCGCGGGATATAGTTGCAAGTCTTGCACCCAGCCTGACTCTGCTGATGAGAAATGGGTCGCTTGTGACAACCCAAGTAACAATTCAAGCTGAACAGTAAGAACAGAAGCTGATTATTGGTTGATTTAAGGTGTACAAAGCTGATTAACAGCAGGCTGAATATATAGTTGATTAGTAGTTAATGAAGCTAATTGTATCCCCATAATTCAACCTCAATAAGTTAGCTGATCTAAGGTTTGAACAAGCCTTATTTAAGCTTAACACTACTCCACAAGTCCAAATCCATATTTTGATAGCCTGATTTGTTAAATGTAGTCAGTGTAACTCGTTGCATTTCCGGCTACCTTTCTAATCCCAAGCAGCGGCAGCAGTAGAGACAAAGTAGAGGAGCTTTTTAGGAATCGCCCCAGGTAGAAGTGGGCTGCGACGACTTTGGAAGCATTAACATTTATATTTCTGTGTTTACAATTCTGCCTTGCTGTATAATACTCTTCCGGTTACTGTTATTCAACTTAAATTTGACGTGTTTCAAGTTAATGATCATACCTCTTTCCACACATTTGCTTAAGTGGTCCAGTAGGTATGATTGATGCCTGTGAATCAGCGACTGCCGGTCCGAATCCCGAAATGCAAAGGTAATTTTTAGACTTATAATAACAATATGAATATGTAAATCCAATTAGTTAGTCAGCACCTTGTTGCAGTCCCATAAAAATATATAAGATATGAAACTGTCTTCAATTATTTTATTCTAAATAAAACTAGAAGGCTGAACACGGGTTGGAAAAGACTGTTATTTAATGCCTTAAAAAGCTTATAATTTATATAACTGTTAAGCTTTTGGCTGATTAAAATAACCAGATTTAGATGTTTGAAAGCTGAACAAAGGTTAACGTGGTCTATGTATAACAATTATTCAAACTAAGGCTCGCCATCTCAAACTCCCACCTTCAGATACCAGATCTTACCGATCGTCAACAGCCAAATCTGTTTCCAAGCAGGCCCAAACAAATCCCGATGCGTCACTCGATTCGCAATCAGCCCCATCGGTTGTACTCAGCACGACTTCCAGTGCCCGTGCAACTCGTCTACGGACCGAAATGAAGCTGATTGAAGAGGAACAGTTAATGAAGGAGCAGGAACTGCAGGCTCAGAAAGAAATCGAGAAGAAAGCGACGGAAGAAGCTCTACGTCGTCTTGAGGAGGAGAAGGCTCTTATAGAGGAGGTAGCTAAAATCCGGCAACGACAACTGAATGATGAAAAGGCATTTCGAAAGAAGCAGCACATGATCAGGAAGGAGTCGTTGGAGAAGAAACAAGGTATTGTCCGACAATTGAGTGAGTGTGGCAGCAGAGGTGGATAAATTCACGATTCTGAGGAGAGGATATCCGAAATGCTCTTCCGAAGCACGCGATGTGGACTCGGTTTCTGGAAAAGCAGTTTCTTTGCATAGACCGAACCCATCACTATCTATCGCTGATCAACCAGAAAGGCAAGAACCTCGGCAATCTGTTTCTCCATCACATCATACGCCTAATCAACCTCCGGTGCCTGACCCTCTGATGCCGTCAGAACTGCCTTCGGTCTTGCATGATTGTCCCATGCCGTCTGGTCAACCGTCTGTTTTGCCTAACTTTCCAAAACCGCAAGTGCCTAATGTTCCCCCTCACTGGCCTAGAGGTCAGCAGATGACCGATAGACATCCCCACCAAATTCCAAATCGTCCACCGCATCGATTGGGAATCGGTCCCTCAGTTCCCAGAGGAGTTCCGGAGTTTCCACCAACGATACCACGCCAGGAGCGTGCAGCACCTCCCATAATTCTAGAGGCAAGTAAAATGGCAGACGCGGAAAATCTCATCCGCTTATAACGATGTTTAAAGGGGCACGCATTAGAATCAGTACGGAGTAGACTGCTGCTTCCTTCTAGCGTCCCACAAGTCATCAACACCCTGCGAACTTTGTACGGCAGACCCGAGCTTCTCATACGGTCGCTCATCAAGAAGGTTCATCGAGCTCCAGCACCTAGACACGATCGACTTGAAACGGTAGTGGAATTCGGATTGACCGTACAAAACCTCGTGGATCACTTGAAGGCGGCGAAGCAATTCCTGCATTTGGCTAACCCGATGCTGATGCAGGAACTCGTAGTGAAATTACCAGGATCGTCGAAAATAAAATGGACGGTCTATAAAAGCAAGCAACAGTATGAAACATTGGCGACATTCGGTGACTTCATGGGAAAATTAGTGACGGCAGCAAGTCAAGTGTCTTTTGATCTTCCGGGCTCCAGCCAAAACTTCAAGGGCGAACAAAAGAGGTCCAAGGAGAAAGGTATGTTACAGACGCATTCGTCGCTTCCGGCTTCTTCCTCTGTCTATGCAATCCAGTCATGCGAACGAGAGAGACATCGATTGGCAGATTGTCCATCAAAAGGGATTGTGTCGAACTTGTCTCAACAGTCACGAAAAGTGGCCTTGCAAGTCCTAACAAGGTTGTGGGATAGAGGGCCAGAAACATAATACACCGTCTCAACCATCAACGAATATGTTTGCCAACCATCTCAAGCAGGGGCACGGTCTCTTTCCTATGTTCCGTGTTCTTCCTGTGATCTTATATGCGGAGAAGTGTATCGAAGTTTTCTTTGCATTCATTGACGAGGGATCCTCAATCACTCTTTTAGAAGAGACAATCGCTGATCGTTTTGGCGTGTCTGGGCCATTGTAACCATTAACATTGCAGTGGCCGGGTAAGGTAACCCGTGAGCAACCAGGGTCACAACGAGTGCAGTTGGGCATATCGGGGAAAAGTAATGATAACCGTCACAAGCTGTGTCAAGTTCGCACGGTTAGCTGTCTGGTGCTCCCTTCGCAAACATCGAGGTACAAGGAACTCTGCCAACAATATCCTCATATGCGAGGGCTTCCGTTGGAAGATTATGATCTAGTCCAGCCAAAACTACTGATTGGTCTGGACAATCTTCATCTGGGCGTTCCACTGTAGCTACGTGAAGGGAGGCCAACGGATCCGATCACTGCCAAATGTCGCCTAGGCTGGAGTACGGGACTACTTCGCCCTGGAAGATGTTGGTGTTACTAGGAACTACGAACCCCTGGAGTCAGAAGAAGAAATGCGAGCGAGAAAGATTCTGGAGTAAACAACAAGACGAACGGATCGTGGTTTCGAGACCGGTCTTCTATAGCGGGACGAGAATCCGGATTCCCGGATAACTATCCTATGGCAGTTCGTCGTCTCCAGTCATTGGATAGGAAACGTATGTGGTTTCTTCTGTTAGGAGTCGTCGTAAACCCGAAGAAAACGAACAAGGTACGGCTGGTTTGGGACGCGCAGCGGTGGCGAATGGAGTCTTTTTCAACTCTAAACTTCTGAAGGGACCAGATCTACTGACACCTTTAACAGCTGTCCTCAGCCGCTTCCGCCAGTTTCCCGTGGTCGTTTGTGGTATCAGGGAAATGTTTCACCAACTGTTGATTCGTATCCAAGACCGTTTGGCGCAGTGCTTTCTTTGGCGAAATAGTCCTTCCGATCCAATCTAGGTTTTTATCATGGACCAGCTTCTGCACAATACGTCAAAAACCTCAATGCACAGGAGTTTGCCGAACTCTATCCACGTGCGACCGCTGCCATAGTCAAAAACCATTAGGTGGATGATTATTTGGACAGCTTCATGACCGTCGAAGAAGCTGCGGAGGTCGTCAAAGAGGTAATACTGGTTCACGCAAAGGGAGGCTTCGACATCCGCAAATTCCGCCCGAACTCAATTCAACTTCTTCGTGAGATAGGAGAACTTTCTGCCGATGAACCGAAGACTCTGATGCTAGAAAGAGAAGGCACTTCTGAATCTGTACTTGGGATGAAGTGGCTCCCTAAAGAAGATTGTTTCACTTACACGGTAAATCTACGAGAAGATCTTCGTACTATCGTGGATGTAACACACGTTTCCACCAAGCGAGAAGTGTTGAAGGTTGTTATGAGTCTCTTCGATCCACTGTTAGCTTTTTCTATTATATATTGAATAAATTAAAAATTCCGCGCGTTTTGTGCAAGGAAATGCGTTCCCTAACACAGTCGCCGAATATTGATACCGAGCACGTAATCCTACGTCAAATCTACGATCGTGTCTTGGCTACAACCTCTTACTTTTTAAACTCAAAAATTCAAACAAATTTTCAATCTTTTTTATCCAATATGTGGGTCTCATGGCCAAAGCCACCCAATAACTTTCGATCTAATGGCATTTAAAAACTTCTTCCAAAAAATCAAATTTCAAAGTTTGGAGACAATGAAAAACAAAAATATAAGATTTTGAACTTTCGAAAAAAAAAATGTAAATGTCTCCCCCTTGGATACGCCACTGTAGTTCTCCTCATGCATGCACAGGATCTCGTGGGTTGCTTCGATTTGATCCAGGCAGAGGCAGCGCCGCACTCTGTGAGACAGCGTCAGACGAGATTAATTTCACTTTTATTAGCTTTTGCGGTTCCGTTTCTGTTGCATCGCGCCGCCCTCACGAGCGCTGGCTGTTTCCGACATTTGCATACACCAGAGAACCACCTTTAAGATGTGCAGAAAAAAAATCGCGATTTCCGAAATGTCACTTCGTCCGTTCCTTTCACCTATAGTACCGGCAAGACAGCAGCAGAAACCTTTACGCGAGGTTTCGGTCATGTTCGATTTTATTGCGTGCAACTTTTATCAAATTTCACGGAGTGCCGCCGCTAGGGGTTTTGGGTGTGCTTATATAAATCCCCTCGCACAAATCGCAATGGGGTGCAATCGACCCAGTGACATTTTATAGCAATTCAAATACAAAAAAAAAAACAGAAAATTAAGACATTTTACACGCTTGCACGGATTTTAATTGTGCTGCACGGTTGCTCCAAATTCATCGGTAAAAGTCGTTTCCATTGATCGACCACTACTGCTGGCGTTAAATGCTCGACGGTCCAGAGATGGATTGTAAAACTTTCGAAAACTGATCTGGTTCAATTCGAAAAAGTTACAGTTGAGTAGTAAATTATCCACTCTAGGTTATACTGATATCTACTTAATTGTGTTGATACATTACAATGAACGGATACAGTAGTGTTCCTTTTCTAGTAACACCTAGAACAACCTGATTTTAGAAAAAAAAAATCTATGTTCAAGACCTTAAAATGTTTTCTATATTTCAGAAGCATTTAAAATTTTTAGGAGTGTTAAGACACATTCTATATGTTCAAAATATTCCAGGCCGCTCAATTTTCCGAATTAGTTTATCTTAAAGATCTTGAATTATGGTGGTCTTCATTCTCTAAAATGTATCTTGGAATCTTAATTGTTTTTTTTTCAATATGGAAATTTGAAGTCCTAGACGCATGCATTCTTGTTTTTTGATTTATCCATCTTGAAAGATTTTTTTCGTTGTACAATGATGATATTTTTTTTCTAAGATTGCGATCTAGAAAAGTTGTCCAGGTACCAGAGCTACGAAAGTTTGTTTTTGTTAAAGAAATTTTATATCCGAGATCTATAAAACCGATTGCTTTAAAATTGTCAAAGTCCGAGATTTTGATTTTTTTTTTCTCTGTGCCTCAGCGACACGATCTGAATCTGAAGAAAATAGTGAAGATTGCGGAAATGGAGGTTAGATTTGGACCGTGTTCTTGCTTATTTAATTAATACTGATTTTATAGATCAAATTTCTGGGATCTTGAACCATTAGTTTTATTTTAAAGAAGGATAATACATATTTTGAAGTGGGTCGCAATCAATGAAAGATTGGAACCATATCTTTTCGAGCAATAAATGTCACTATCGATCACATTTTTTTTCAGAAGAAGTTGTTTTGGTCAGTATTTTCGTTATTTTAGTCACTAAACTCACTACTGTTATATCACATACCCACTACCCAGCCCTGCAATCATGTTAGGCTGACCAACTGTCCGAAGTAACAGTCAAGCACCCAGCATTCCAAACTGTACATTGGACACATTTTGACCTATGATTAACTAGTAGCTAGATTTGTTTACATTTGTTACTTAGGTCCTTTTGAAAATTTACACGAGACTTGTCCCCCTAAATTTGCATTCTGTCCACCCATTTCGATTTTTCACTGAGTATTCGAGCCTAAATTAGCTCAGAGATTTTCCAACATCGTCACGTGAGGGTCGAACGATGCAGGAAGGGTCAAACTCAGGCCCGAAGTTGCCGAGTCCAATCTTAAATTTGCAACAGGTGACCACGTAACGATGATCCTTCCTGCAGTCGAAGACGAGCAATCAGCTTCCTAAGTACGGTCTGCCTACCAGCTGACTTCTTAGCGAAAGTATCTAGAGCCTGCTTGATTCAACAGCAATGATTTCGGTTATATCCTAAGCCTAGATGTAATTCTAGGGCCAGTTCAAAACAACTACCTACAAGCAATGTTCATAACAAACAATGGTTACTAACCTGTTCACAGCGCAACCAGATTAGCACTACATTACGATAACGTAGTGGACCGCCCAGTTTGCATCCGCCCGACAATGCACGCTGGTCCTCTAAAATGCGGCTCAATGGCTGGCCATCCTGCTGGAACACTTCAAGGGCCCTGCAAAGTGGAAAACATGAATAATAGATTATTTTACAACTTTACAAGAGTGATAAATTAATGCTCTGTAGTGTATGTACTCAAGAGGGACAGCCCAACGGCAATGGTTATTAGAACTGTACTACAAAGCTTTAAGAAACGTTTAAACACTACTATTAGTGCTGCTTCTGTCACCCGAATTCTTCATATAGCAGGACTAACTGGGAAAAATTGGGAGACGAGCAACTCAGTCGGACATGCTGACACCCTTTTTGCAACTTAAGGCTGTATAATGAGGATACTTGAAGTACTCTAGCGGAACTATCAACCTACCCTCTTCAGACCTTTCTCTGAATAATCACACTAAAGCATTTCCAATCAACTTGGTAAATTAATTTTTCAAAAATAAATAAATATACCGGCCAGCCTGAAAATAATGGGTTGGGACATTTTTTAGACGAAAACAATTTCTGACACCTAAAAACTCTCCAAATCTCGATTAGAGCCGCATTTACGGAGATAAATCGATTTAAAGATTGTTATACCCGCCAGTGAAAAAGTCTTGACCTCTTGAACAACTATGCCGAAGACAGTAACTTTCTATCTGGTTGGGAACTATTGAGCACCAAGCAATAGGCTTTGATCTCCTGAAATACTTTGTGAAAGACAGTAACTTTCTATCTGGTCAGGATCTCGAGATATATCACATGCGAGAATTCCACATGTATACTAGTGCTACGTATAGAGAAAATTCTGAACTACTGTCCGCCAGCGATAAGGCTATAATCTCCTGAACAACTTTGTCAGAGACAGTAACTTTCTATCTGGTCAGGATCACGATATCTTCCATGTTGTAATCAATTCAGCCAAATCCCACGTAGTATGGTCACAGTTTTCTCTATTAGGTTTTGCACCGTCGGGGTTAACCTCAATCTGATGACAGTTCAGTGGTACTGTTTACGTGAACTTAGTCGATTTTTTCTTGGGTAGATTTTCTCGATATTTTTTCAGACTGCAGTGAGATGTAAACCATACTTCTGCAATGTTCACGAGCAACATCCTTTCAACGCGCTGTTCCTCGACAATTTTCAAGTTAAAATTCGGAAATTTTAGAATTTTTTTTCTTCGAAAGAACGACTAAGTGCTTGTAAACAGTACCACTGAATTGTCAAAAAGGTTCAGCCGATTAACACTGAGTTCATTTGTGACGCCACGCTGCAGTACCTAATTTCCTATTATCCGCATTTTTTAGGTGTTAAATGTGATCAAAGTTTAGCTTGTATAGATCAAAACAAGTTTTTTGAGGAATACTCGTTGACTTAAGATCGATTGGTAACTCAGTAACAAAATAGCAATGGAAATCTCGGAGGGTTAAACATTATTCACTCTTTGGGAACTTGGGACTTCAACAGCACAGGCAATGATTTGCTAATAGGTTGCCAGCTATTGTTTATTGTGACTGGAACATAACTGTAAAAATAAAACTAGAATTGGAAACACTGATTATCAAGATAAGAGCACGGCCAATAACAGTAACCCAAATTTGAGTTTCGTTCACTCAGATTTGGCAAAAGTGCAGGAACGCATTGTGTGAGTAAACTGATTTTACTCAGCTGTGAGTAAGTGTGTGTGTGTGTGTGTATTCCATCTAACCCCCACTGGCCGGCAGTGGTATTATGGAAGAACTCTCCCTACAATGTCGCATTTATGGTCATTGTAGACAGCTTTAGTCCGGGAGTTAGAAGGTGATAGCTCTATTGCAGATCCAGTAACCCATTTCAGAATGTCTGGAGAGTCACGCCCATTCCGAGGTTACTTTCAATTACAATAAGCCCCGCATGTATGTATTACCTCTATCAATAGGATATAAGTATTACACACACACTTCCAGTTTCAAAATGTTCTTTTGAACCTGGCACGTATTTAGTTTATTTATTCATTTTTTTTTTTATAATTGTGGAAGGTGTTTGGAATGGTCTCACCATATTAATTTGCTGCTCCAATCCATGGGTTCCATAGGTTTGCTTTTCTCTACGCTTTGCATCTCATTTCGTGTGTCGCCTAGAAGTAATCAAATAAATCATATGAGTAGTCTCGCCGTTGCATTATCTAATGTGTAGATTTTGGTTTAATCGTGTGATTATTTTGAAAATATTTGTAATTAGCTTCTAAATAATAAATTTTTTGTAATTGTTTTTGTATTATACATTTATCATTCCATACTACAGTACTAAAATAATATATGTTTCAAGAAGATTCATTGCTTATTTAACTTATTTAACTGAGCCGAATGACTTCCCCTATCTTCCGTAGTGGTGTGGTTGTAGTCGACTATAAATGGCGATATTCATATCAGTAGATTGAACTTGGGCGTCGGAAGAAGAATGTCGTTTCTGTCTGGTGTCTTCATACTCGGTGGTAGATTCCAATCGTTATATCAGTACGGGGAAAATTGGAACATCATCTATGAAAGAGCGTTGATGATGAAGAACGCTGTATGAAATAAACTCCCACGTTGTAGGAAAAAAAAAAAAAAAAATTAAATGCGTATGCGTCGGACCCACCTGCATGACAAACCATGAGCATGTGCACCATCTGCATCATAAACAATGAGCACTCACAACAACTTTACTAGTGTGCATCTCTCTCTCTCTCTCTCTCTCTCTCTCTCTCTCTCTCTCTCTCTCTCTCTCTCTCTCTCTCTCTCTCTCTCTCTCTCTCTCTCTCTCTCTCTCTCTCTCTCTCTCTCTCTCTCTCTCTCTCTCTCTCTCTCTCTCTCTCTCTCTCTCTCTCTCTCTCTCTCTTTCTCACACACACACACACACGCACACACACACTGCTTCTTCGTCCTTTTTCAATAATATCACCAATCTTCTATCCCTGACTCTGATTCTTCTTCACCACCTATTGTTTTATATATCTCCTCGGGTTGTTTTTTTAGTTTATCCTTATCTTTCACTATTCTTTTCCAGTCTTCATCTGTTACATTTGATAAACTATCCTTATCTTCTCTAATAGAATCATTCTATGTTTTTGCTGGTCTCCCTATCTTTTTCTTTCTACATCTAATCTTTTCTATTATTTTTAATGGATGTCCTTCTGGTCTTCTCTGTATATGCCCCCAATAGCTTATTCTCATAACTCTAACTCTTTTAACTGCCGTCCTACCATCTAACAACTTTGAAGCTGTTAATCTACCTTTGGGTTTCTCCCTACAATACTTGATTATTTCTTTTAGAATCTGCATTTCATACCTAGTGATTGATCTTCTATTTCTTTTAACTAACGCTATTACTTTAAGACCGTATGTTATTGCGGGAGAAATAACAGTTTTATACATTAGTTTTGCTAAGCTCCATGGTGGCTTGTATCTTCGACAAAATTCGATCATTATTTTGCTACTTCCTACCGCTAATTTACACCTTTTTCTTGTTGTCTGTGGTCTGTCTAATGTATCCGATAGATATGTTCCAAGGTATTTCATATTATTTGTTACCCCATAATCTTCTCCATCTATCTTAATAACCTTTGGAATATTTCTGTCTGACTTTGGCTCTCTTATCATAACTTGACTCTTATTGTTATTTATTTCTAATCCTACTTGTTCTAATTCTACTTTTAGTATCTTCACTATATCTTCTACCTTTTCTAATGTTCTTGCTATAATAAGAATGTCATCTGCAAATACTAAAATTATCGGTAACTTATCATTATTCAACTCTAACAAATTAACTCTAGGATATTTCCTACATTAGTACATCTTGAATTATCAGTATAAATATATAAGGAGATAATGGGCATCCTTGTTTTATTCCTTTCGCCTTTGTTCTCTCCTCCGTGCAAATCCCATCCCATAAAATACTTGTTTTCTCTGCATTAAGTGCCTGTATTACTCTATTGATAATATGTTTTGGAACTGATAGTTTCTGAAGAACCTTAGGAACCGATTCGATCCTCACATTGTCGAATGCTTTCTTTAAATCTATTGAAGCTACAATTATTGTGTCTCCACCGTTCCATCTTTCCTCTAAACATCTCCTAGCATAGAACATTTGATCATCCGTGGACCTGTCTTTGGTGAATGCTGCTTGATGGTAATCTGGCTCTCCTGCGTACTCCTTAAGCCTCTGCATAATCCACTTTGCATAAATTTTGTACCCTAGATTACACAGACTTATCCTTCTAAAATCTTTTGTTTTCTTTGCTCCTTTACATTTTGGGATAGGTATTTGTATTGATTGCTTCCACTGATCGGGCATGCAATTTGTTTCCCACACCTTTCTTATTATTTTGTATAATTCCTCCTCTGTTTGTTCGTTGGCATATTTCACATATTCATTTTTTATTCCATCTTGCCCTGCTGCTTTTCCGTTTAGTAAATTTCTTATAATATTCCTTATTTCCTCCCTACTTGGTCCTTCCGTTAAGGTTTCTTTGTCTATTTCTATCTCAATTGGCTGACCTTCTGTTAATTCTAATTCTTCTATCCACTTTTTCATCGGAATGTTTGGCTTCTTAGGGTCTCTTATTCTCATAAATTGCTTCAAAAATTTGTACGATCTCTTTATCCTCTCACCTATCTCGTAGTCCTGTATTTCGTTATAAAATTTAAAAACTTCCTTTTCGTTGTGCTCTTTAACTTTAGCTGCATACTCTTGCCTCCTCATATTCATGTTTTGTCTGTACCATTCTGTATTCATATCTCTTTCTTTAGCTAACCTCATCTGTTTCCTTGCCTTCATAAGATTTGTTATCGCTCTTTTTCTATTGGGAGTCAATGGGCTTTTGTTTTCTACTAATACCTTTTTCGCACTAATTGTCACCTTCTTAGTAAATTCTTCGTATGCTTGTGTTATATCTAGCTTTTCCACCTCAATTGCCTTTAGTTTATCTAGCTCTTCTAAGTATTTTTCATGTTTTTCATCACACTGTAATACGCTAGGCTGTAATCTTTTTTTTTTGCTATATTTTTCCTACCAATTTCCTTGCTTTGTTCTGTATATATGCCTATCTTTATGATC